TCATCCCTCAAGATAAATCCCGTAGTAGCCTTGTGAGTCACCCTTGGGGAAAAATGCATGGGAATCAACACCCTAACAATCCAAAATACCATTTTGACCCAGCCTTGGCCACCAACTTTCCTACCACCATCAGGAACAAGTCAAAATCCTACCTTGAAGCAGCCAAGCAGGGACTTAAGGACTAGCCATAGGTTTTCCCACCATCAAGAACATCCACTAGAAATCTACCCAACCTATTATCTGGGCCTTGGAAGAAACCCAGTTTGTGGAGCAGTCGAAGAACTTTCCTTCACCAACAACAAATTCAAGCCTCAAGCAGAAGCTAGTCTTCGAGGACGAAGATTGAATTGAGTGGGGGAGACTGTAACAAGTATTCTCTTCACCGCGCCATCAAGTGCCAACCATCGTGCCTACAACCGCCACTCCAGCGTCCAAGTGTGTCATGGGTGGGCTATGCATGTACTTTTGTATGGGGTATTGCCAATTGCATTATTGTAATACTGTAGTATGCTTTTTCACATTTTTGATGTTTCTTATTGTCACTTCCCCAAAAGCTTAATGTACTCTTTGAGGGGAGGTAGGTAGTCGAGTGAGTTCATAAGCGTGTAAAGGTTAAGCACGAGATCCCTTCAACACTGTACTGTATACAAATAGCTTTTACTAATTCGTGTGCCATCTTGTTACTTTTATGTGTATTTGATTTGTTGCTTAGGCTTATTCGCCCATTTCGAGTGCCGCACGGGCCCAACGATTAGCCCGTGACAATTTGGCGCACGGAAAGAAAAAGTTGACTTTAAGGGCTGGTGCAATTTCCTTCCAGCGATATAAAATGGGCATTTTCTTTTTTCCCGCCCATTCGTTTCTCACATCGTTTGTGCTTCGCTGTTGGCTGGCTCCATCTTGACTCTCTGCAATCATTATACTGTAAAGCAGGGTTTCGTCGAAAGATTGGATCGTAGCAGCATGGAACCTTTAATCTCTCAACTTGCTAAGCTGTTCAATGACACGCTCAGCCCCGATGATACTGTAGTCCGCTCTGCGACCGAAGTCCTTGACCGTCTCTCGCTTCTTCCGGAATTTCCCTTTTCTCTCATCTCCATTGCCACCGGTAAAACCCTAACACCCGCAGTTATACTTTGATTTCTACAATTTTCATTCCCCCAGCCCTCTGATTCTCTGTCGCTCGAATCTGATCATAATTTGCTCTATATTATTTAATTTCTCACAATTGAAGCCTTCTTTTGAAATTGCCTTTGCATAATAGGAGGCGAAAATCAGGGGCAAAGAATAGCTGCTGCCACTTATCTTAAGAATTTCACTAGACGTCACTTCGATGGTAACGACCCATCTACCAAAATCAGTAAAGACTTCAGGAGTTCGCTTTTCCACGCTTTGCTTCAAGTCGAACCATCGGTTCTTAAAGTTTTGGTTGAGGCTGTATGTATTTGATGTCTTGATTGCACTTCAGATTGCCTTCTCTGGTTTCCTTTCTTTGCATTATGCTACTGTCTATAAGATATTTAGTTCCTTGTATCTGTGTGAGCTATATCTGCAGTTTCGCATTGTGGTTGTTGCTGAATTTGTAAAGGAGAACTCTTGGCCCGAACTCGTGCCTGAGCTGAGATCAGTTATTCAATGTAGTAATCTAGTTAACGAAGGTCCCGGTTCTCAATGGAACACCATCAATGCACTTACAGTTCTTCATACAATTATTAGGCCGTTCCAGGTACACATTCTACTTGGCCATAGTGGTTTGAAATTGTACGGGCGTGAGTTTGGTGCTTTACTTCTCTTTTTGCCATTATATAAATAGGTAAATACGCTTCAATATTCATGGTTTACCAAAGAGAGTGATCTAAGACGAGGTTTTGTTACAGTAACCCAGAGTTGACGTCCTTTCCCTGTAACGCTATTTTCAATAAGGATTTTCTTCCGTACTTGTATCGATGCGGGTTAAAATAATTCTCTATTTCAGTCTTTTGCATTAGACCCTGAACTCTTCTTTCTTTGGCAATTTTCTTTCACCTTCTCACATTTTCTCTGCAAATCCAAAAGGGACCTTACTTGGTAATTATGTTTGCAATTTTTCAGTACTTTTTAAATCCAAAGCTGGCAAGGGAGCCGGTTCCACCACAGTTGGAGCTAATAGCAAAAGAAATTCTTGTACCTTTGCTTTCCGTCTTCCATAATTTCATCGAAAAGGTTAAATCTTCTTTTCTTTCCTTTTATTTATGTAGTTACCTATAACATAGTTCTTCTTGCTCTTATCATTGGATAGTAAACAGAATTTTGAGTTTAATGGTCTGTGTACAGGTTATATCCACCCAAGGTAGAACAGAAACAGAAATTGACAAAATGTTTCTTATCATATGCAAGTGCATGTACTTTGCTGTAAGTTCTGACTGTGTTCATAGTTTTCTTTTTATATTTTTAATGTTCATAAGAGTTAATACCAATGTAAATTAGATATAAGTTTCTCTTTTTCAGGGACTTATTTGTCTAGACTTGCTCTCACTATAAGTGTACAACCTTGTTATTCTACAAATAAAATGAAACATGTTACTGCATGAACTTTCATTGGTCAAGCATAACATAGAAGAGTTGTCAAAATTTAATACATGGACATAAACTACAAAATTGGCATTTTCATCCATTTTACAACAACATATTTGTAGATGTTCAAGACTGCTATCAGTCTTGATCACTAAGAAACTTCAGGTTCGAAGAGAAGAGAAAGTGAAGAAGAAGAAGGAGAAAGAGTGGTGAGAGAGCAGTAGAACACA